CTGAATGATTAGCATTGGCTACCCTGGCAATTTTAATTAGTAATAGGGAAGTTCTTGTAGATGCCTGCACCAATTTTTGTGGTCTTTGACCTGTACTGGATCCAGTTTGATGTTCTTTACAATACAGATCAGAAAAGACAAGACATAAGCCTGCTTTGGCTCCAGATCTGACTTGTTTTCAAGATGAACCGAAAGAGGTTTCCAAGACCCCCAGACTTCTGTTTTCCCTCCCACAGTTGATGTCAATAACAGCTGGAGCTAATGACTGATTTACACAGTGCCTGTCAGCCTGAAGGATCCCAGTGTGCATTGCAAGCTGTAGATCTAGGAATCACTTCTACCACGGGTGAAATACATAGGGTGAAACAGACCAAATGTTGGTAAACATGAGAATGAGAGCTGTGAACTCCTGAGTTATTGCTCCTTCCAAGCTCTGACTCTGACTCCCTCTGTGGCAAATCACTCCACCAGTCCTTGTCTACAGGAGCATAATATTTTTCTCCCTCATATAGGATTAGTTAGTTAATGTATTTGGATGATGAGATCTGCATAGGGCCTGACATTTGATCTACCTGAAAAGTGCCTTGTTCATTCCATATATAAAACCTGCTGTGCTGTAGTGTTTGTTTGTTTTTTTAATATAGTTAAAGGCTCTTGGTTTCTCTTGAAAACCTCACATGGAACATCATCCAGTTCTTAAATGTAAATGTATTTCATCTCCTTATTAAGATGGGGAAAATAAGGCAGTGAGATCAAATGGCAGCGACTCTGGAATGGAACTCATGTTACTTCGTTTCTGTTCTCAGCCCTGCCACTGCCCTGTTGTTTGACCTCACACTAGTCCCTTCACCTGTATCTCTTTCCAGTCTCTGTCTTGTCTATTTCGATTGTAAGCTTTCTGGGGCACGGCCTGTCTCTCACTGCGTGTATGAAGAGTGTTAGCACAATGGGGCACTGATCTCATTTGGGTCCCATACATGTTGTTGTAATACAAATAAACAATTACAAATACTTTTAAAAGAACCCCTCCTACCATTTTGGTGTGATCAATTGAAACTAGGACTTACATTCCACCATCTGCAGCAAAGTGAACTATTAAGCACTCACTATTTTCAGGGCTTTTCAAATGCTTCGGATCACATTTTCAGGGGACTATGTTTCCATAAAATTGCACGCAGACACATTTTGCTCACTCATATTGGTTAGCTGGGTGCTGAAACACCTGGTTCATACACACACATGTGATGGCATGTGCAGTTTGGTGGGGAAACGTTCTGAGGCTTGTTCAAAACCATGGAACAAAAATCACAAGCACCCATGTTGGCTGCTGCTACTTTAGAAAGTTGAGAAAATAGAAATAATTGAAATGCTGTTCTCCAAATGTGAGATGCAAAAAGTGGTAGCAATGGAAGTTGTTTATTTTTCTTGATGCCTTCCAAGGGGATGATGCCAACAAGTGAATGGAAAAGGAAAAAAAAAATAATTGGAGACTAAAGTGGAGGAGAATTGATTTGCACATGTGTTTCTGCAACACTTGTACCGAAAACTCCATGCTGCCTTTAATATCTCAGCTATAATTACAATTCACCTTTCCTCATTCGTGGCACTGAACTGTATTAGCATCAGGGCATGCAAAATATTTACTGCATATTGGCAACCCCATAGTTCATCTCGGTGAATCGTAATATTTTAACACTGTGCTTTATGAAGTCTGAAGCATATAATTTTTATTAGCCACAACTGTCTTTGATGTTCTCCCCCTCCCTTTCTTTTTATGGTGTCAGTAAGTATCTGAGCTGTGGCATCTCCACTTCACTTGGCAATGTGGATGTGTTCTTTTGAAATTGCTTTTTTCAATAGGGAACTTGTACTTGTTACTCTCGCTGTTGCAGCCCTCCTGAACAGTCACAGGGTGAGAATCGCTTCTCCACATGTGTAAACTCTAAACTGCATCTGAGGTTTAAAGCTAAAATAGCACAACCTCAAAAATAAACAATGAAATTGCCGTTGTGTTACAGTAGGAGATGTGGGGCTGCAGATGGGGTCAAGAAATATCAACCAGGTTCCAGCCTGTTTAACAGATCAGCACTTCACAATACATTGTACTCCTTATTAAATTTGTGGCAGCTTTCTAGCTGATGTTGAAGATGTTTTGTTTAGAGGTGGTTCCCTTTCTCCATTGCATATCTGAGGGTTCAGCATGTGTGTCTTGTTAGTCCTATTATAACTAATCATAGAATCATAGAATCATAGAATATAAGGGTTGGAAGGGACCCCAGAAGGTCATCTAGTCCAACCCCCTGCTCGAAGCAGGACCAATTCCCAGTTAAATCATCCCAGCCAGGGCTTTGTCAAGCCTGACCTTAAAAACCTCTAAGGAAGGAGATTCTACCACCTCCCTAGGTAACGCATTCCAGTGTTTCACCACCCTCTTAGTGAAAAAGTTTTTCCTAATATCCAATCTAAACCTCCCCCACTGCAGCATAATCTAATTATGTTTCTGGCCCCATTATCATAGTGTTTGAGCATCTTACAATCTTTAATATATTTATCCTCATAACTCACCCCTGTGAGTCAGGGCAGTGCTATTATCTTCATTTTACAGGTGGAAAAGTGACTTGCCAAAGGTCACACAGGGAGTATATAGCAGAGCAGGGAATCAAACCCAGGTCTCCCAAGTCAGCGTCCTAACCGCTGGGCAATCCTTATGCTCTTCCTCTGGTCTTAACTTTCAGAACATTGCGTCGATCAGTAAGGTATCTACAAAAGTGTTTCTTCCCTCTCGCATTTCATGATCGCCAATATGCAGGCATATGTTGCTCCCACATCTGATGGAATCATCCTAAATCCCGCTTTCGGGGTGATTCAGCATTTAAATGGATCATTGTAAACTCCTGCTGGTTGATTTTACTCCTGCAGGATGGTCCCTCTACAGAAGCCCATGAACCACTCTGGTCCATGCTGTTTGGGGAATTTAATGGAATACTAACTGTGTTTCAGTGAGTGCTGTTCTAGTTGTGGGTTGTCAGCGTTTTCACTTTGGGGACTAAGCTGTCTTTTACCAGACACGCCTGTCTGAGTACATCTCAGTTTGCTTGGCTCCCGATTCAGTAATGAACTTAATCATGTACCTAACTATAAGTACACGAGTAGCCCTATGCAGGGACCTTCCTGAATCAGGGACCATATTGTAATGTCACCCACAGTTCTGATGCCCTCAGCAAAGAACTAAAGGGCTAATAATGCACTATTAAAAATTTTGCCATTGACTTAATGGGAACTGGATCAGGCTGTGAATGAATTAAATTTCTGGGGAGAGAGTTAAGCATGACCTGATTACTTCTGTTCCGTAATTCCTGGCTTTTGCAAGTTAGAATGAAAATATAAGGGACAAGTTGAAGGAATTGAATTATGAGGAAGGAATTAAAAAATTAACCATGTACCTCTTAGTGAAATGCCAGCTAAAGTAAATCATGGGGATGCCTGTTCAAACTTGCTCCTACCCCTCCTTTTCTGCTATTGAGGCTGTGAGGACATTGATGGGATAGGGATTTTCATATAAATTTAAAGGTGGGAAATGGGAAAACTCTGGTTCATACCAGCTGGTGCCACCTTCTGCTCAGGGACAGATATAGGCATGTTCTTTCATAATGGGTGCTAACAGAAGGGATTCAGGCAGACCAGTAAGCGAGGTGGAGGTCACCAGGGACTACAGCACAGCTGATTGCTGCCAGCTGGCTATCTGGCTGCTGCATATGCGGGCAGGCACAAGGAATCGGGAGCAGAAGGAAGATGAAAATCCCACCTGGGGAGACTGGGATGGAGAGTCTGTTGGGGCCAGGAGATGGGGAAAGGTTTGCCCGGGGAGGTCAGTGTTTTTTTAGGGGGGAGCATGAAATTAGAGGTTCAGCACCATATTTGGCCTTCATCCACCCTATCTCTTAGGGGTGTGGGTGTGAGCGCATGTATGTATACACAAAGAGGCCTGTTAAACTGTAATCCAATTCTGCAAAGAGACGTTGTAAGGAAGGCATTGTGTTCATTTCTCATTGGTTGCCTTTATCGAATATGCTCACTCTCTCTCTAAAAGAAGTCCTTGCTAATTGCCGCGCCTTCAAATGCTCCCTTGTTCAGGGTCAAGCTGGATTCTTACTTTCTCACACCTGCCTGACTTCTTGACAGGAACGTTGTGGGTGAGTTATGTTTAAAGACTGCTTTGATGATTGAGGATCTGAGTTTTCAGCCTAGCCTCAACTAGTCTGGTGGGTGCACATGGTTGTGTCGTGTCTCAGATTAAATAATAAATGCATCAGGGTGGGAGGCTAGTTTTACTGTGTATTTGTACAGCACCTAGCACAATGGGGCAATGATTCTAAAAGGGTCTTATACAAATATTTAAATAATCACAGTGTTGCATGTGCAACATGTGGCTACAATCAGGGAATCGGAGGTGAGATTTTCAGAGCCACCATTGGAGTTGGATGTCCTATTCCTATTCATTTGTATGGGAATGTGTGCATCCAGATGCCTTAGGCAGCTCGGAAACTATCAGCCTAGGTGCCTAAATAGAATCACTTGCCTCCAAAATAATTGTGGGTGAAAACTGCACTACAGTTGATTGTGCCTGCAAATTCTGGGCACATAAAGAAAGGCAGCCTATAAAAACCTGCCCCTGTAAATGCTCTGTCTCCGCTCCATAGCCTGTTGATGTCAGTGGAGGGATTCCCCTTTACCTCAAAGAGGTTGTATTTGGGCCTATAATTGTTAGAACCAGTGTTTCACTTTCAGCCCATTAACTTTCAGAGGTAACTGTGTGTTTGTTAAATATGTACAACCACCACAACAAAGTATAGGGAGAAAGCTATGATAAATGTCCCTTTCTTTGGTGCATGCTGGTTCAGAGACTCTGCTCTGATGTTAGTTAGTCTCTTGCTAAGCAAGGCACGGCGATACGCTGGCCAGATGTATTAACATGCGCTCTCCTCCTTGTCTTGTTGCAGCCACCCAGATCGATCCCAACGAACTCCAGGAATTGTTTCAGGAAACTTCAGCCAACATCTTCCGAATTAACTCCAATGGTGCGTATAATGAAAGGCTTCCTAGTCAATTGTATGCAGTCCTGCTGATGACTTGTAAGCATGTATACCGCGTTCAGCAAGCCCTCTTGTCGGGGAGCAGATATTAATGCATTTTTGCTGATTGGCCTCATGAGCACACGTACAATACACTTTTCTTTATAAGATGTAAAAATATTCCCCCATATGTTGCATTAAATAGGCAGAGAGATATTCCCATCCTTACTGAGATGGCATCCTTTTCTATTTTTAATTATGTCATCTGTTACAATAAGGAATTGGAAGGCAGAAAGGTGGAACAAGCTACACTGCTTCTTTGAAGTGTTGCAATGCTGCAAAGTTCAGAGCCTGTCATATTAGCTTGCAAAACAGCTACTATTTCCTTTATTCTTCCTTCTGTATCAAATGGGAATGCTGTTCCTGGTAATTCCTCATGTGTCTGTTTAGGATACTGCTTCCTAAGGGCCCAGTAGGTCAGGGTGCTGAGTGCCTTTTGAGAGGTGCTCAGGACCTTCAACACTCCTCGAAGGTAATAGGAGGTGAGGTTGCAGCACCTTGTAAGATTCAGCTGTAAGATAGCGAATGACAGAGGGAAGTGCTCTCTAATGATTAGAGAGAAGGCCTGGGAGTCAGAATTACTGGTTTCTCTCCCCTGTGCCTGCAGTGACTGACACATCATAAGAACTGAGGTAGGTAAGGAATAGGATCAAGTCACTATAACTAGGAGTCAAGACTTCTAGAATTCAATTCTGCCTCTTCTACAGACCTGCTGTGTGACGTCAGGCAAGGCTTTAATATCTCTGAGTCTCAGCTTCCCCATCTGTAAAACTTGCATGATGCTGAACCTGTCACCGAAAAAAATAAAAAAAGAGTCAATTTCATTAATAACACAGAGGATCAATGAGTTTATCCTGATTATAGAGTTATGTAAATTAGTGTGTCATAAAGATCAGGGCCAGAAGAGACCAACTGATCATCTAGTCTGACCTTCTGTGTATCCCAGGCCACCAGCATCTACACACAAAATCCAACAACAAAGGAAATAAGACCCACAGGAGATCAGTCATTTATGTGCCACAGCAGAGACCAAGGGGTATAAGTGAGTCTGAGGAGCACCAGTGTATGAGGACCCTGCAGTGGAAGGACAATGACTGAGAGAGATAGACCCAGATAATCCTGGCAATTGACCCACTCGCCGCAGAGGAAGGTGAACCCCCCGTTCAATGTCACTGCCAATCTGATCTGGAGGAAAATTCCTTCCTAACCCCACATATGGCGATCAGTTAGACCCTGGGCATATGAGCAAGAACCAGCCAGCCAAGCACTTGAGAGAGAGAGAATGCTCAGTGCGACCCCGTCCAGTGTCCTGTCACCACCTGTGGCCATCCCTAATGCTTCAGAGGAAGAAGATACAACAACCTCCCAGAATACATTGCAGGGAGAGGGACATCCCTTCCTGACCCCTGCCAGTGGCTTGTTGTAACTCTGAAGCCTGAGCATTAGGAACATAAGATATAAACTGAAAGTGACACCCTGGGCTGTCAAGCCGTGCTCCCCAACCATCACAAGCAACCCTGTCATGCAGTCCTTGCGGCTCCTGGTGTCTCAAAGTTAAGGGAATCCCTGCTATAGAATAGAAATTTCAGCAATTTCCCTTTGGCCAGTTCTACACTACAAAGTTTTATTGGCACCGCTTCTACACTACAAAGTTTTATTGGCATAGCGGTGCCAGTCAGGGGTGTGAAAAAGCCACAGGCCCTGGCCAACATAACTAGGCTGGTTATTTCTCTGGTGTAGATTCAAGTATGCCAACAGAAGAGTGCTTCTGTCGGCACAGCTAATGTTATGTCTACACTCAGGGTCTTTGCCAGTATAGCTGTACCAGTATAGCTATAGCAGGAAAGCATTTGTAGTGTAGACAAAGCATTTGTGATATATGTGGGGGTGAGGAATCATGCACTTAGCAAGCTGAATAGCAATAAGAAAGAATGGATTCCCTGCTAACCTTTGAGATGCTTTGTGGTGGCAATGGGACTCTTGCTGCTTCAGAGGACGTACTTCCAGGAAAAAGCCAAGTGCTGCAGAAGGGGGTGAAATTCCTCCGAACGAGTTCCGATACCATGACCCAGCATGGTGCTAAGGTTAGTCTTGCAGATTGAATATAGACCTCAGTGTCTGGCTGCTTACGGTCGTTTCAGAATCTGTGACACTTCTCAAAAGAGATCAGGATTTATCATAAATATCCTTGTCCGATTTCATTTTGTATGTAACCACTGAATTCTGCCTGAACTTTCAAGTATTTATAGTACTCTTCACTTCTTGTTCTGAACTGCTGTTGTGTGATGTTGTGTTCTCCATCACTAGTGTCTGCATTTCAGTGCTGTCTGAAGTGATTTCTTTATTCCTCTGTTGGAATAATGGTGCCAATGCTTTATGAAACATGGTATAAAACTGGAAAGGGTTCAGAGGAGAGCCTCAAGAACTGAGGACTGGAAAGATACAAAAAGCCTCTCTTTATTTAGCTTACTGAGAAATTCAAGAGGTGACTTGATCAAGGTTTACAAATACCTACGAGGGGAGAAGATAACGGATAGTACACGGCTCATTAATCTAGCAGACAAAAGCAGAACAAGATCTAGTTATTGGAAGTTGAAGCTAGACCAAATCAAACTTTAAAAATGAGGGTGACCAAGCATTAGAACAGCTTGCTGAGAGGCATGATGGATTCGGCATCACTCGGAGTCTTTAAATCAAGATTTGATGTCTCTGTAAAATGTAGCTCTTGTTCAACTGCAAGTGATGGTCAGGAACTGCAAGATGAAATTCTATGGCCTGTGTTATGCAGGAGGATGGGCTGGATCATCAGAATAGTTCATTCTGAAATCTATGAATCTATGAATTTATAATGCTTTTAAAGCACTTGGGTATCCTTTGGAATGAAGAGATAACTATAAAATAGCTTCTTGATGCTGTACTGGTCACTGATGTTGTTGCAGTTATTTTTGCCTTCTGTGATCAGCTGCTCTTACTGAGATTATGCACTGGCACTCACAACCCAGGGGAAGGCAGGCTGTTACAAAGATTGGTGTGACCAGCAAGGGGAAAACGTCCTAGCATGAGGTTGGTGAAACAGCAAAATTAGGTAAAATGATGCAACAAAAAGCTGGAAGAGGATCTGTGGAAAAATTAGTGGCACTCAACCTATTAGAATAACATGTAGTGCTTTTCATCCATAGATTTCAAAGTGATTTACAAAGGAGGTCAGTATCTCCTCCTTTGTACAGATGGGGAAACTGAGGCACAGAGCAGGGAAGTGACTTGCCCAAGGTTACCCAGCAGGCTAGTGACAGAGCCACGAATAGCCAGGTCTTCTTAATGCCAGCCCAGTGTTTTATCCACAAGGCATCACTGTTTCCCTATTGCTTCACTTGCTCCTGTAGAGTTAGAGGATTTTGAATCATAGCTGTAGCCAGTGGCGATGATGCAATTTATATTCTGCTAGTTTGCTATCTCATTGCTTAGAAATCATGATGCTAGGTGTCTAAGAAATATGTAGTATGAGAGTAAACGTTTGGCTTGTTTAGGTGGCCTATATTTTTGAAGCCATGTTTTGGTCCCCTTCCCTGTGTTTTTGTGTCTACTTTCCTCATTCCTCTTGATGTTTAGGAACTGTCCTCTTTGTGGGTAAGGAGGTTTGCCTGATAACTATCAGCTTTTGTTTTTGGGCCAGATTTTTTTTTTAATTCCAAGGTTATGGATTACATTTAGCTGATTGGGGACTTTTGTAGTAACTTTTTTAAAAAGGGGTTTGTGTTCTTTTTTTTTTTTATTGAGCAGCACTTAGCTGCCACCTAGTAAATGCCTTATAAATAAAGAAAATAAACACCACCAATAAAGGGAATTGGTTCGGTAGATCATGTCTGAAGGACTAATCACTAAAGAATGCACTGGAGGGAGCAATCCTGCACTGGCCGGTTGGAGCATCAGAATGCTCTAATAGGGATCTTCTATCTCAGATTCCTGCTACTTGCTTGTTAATGATGTCACATGACAGGTTGGTGCAGTGTGCATCCCATTTCTTTGATCCGAGGGGCTGAGCAAAGGCTTCTGTACTGTCCCCGAGGTGCTCTAAAATTTTGGTAGCCATTTTGGGACCAATTGCTTTTAAAGCTTCCGAGAGAATATATGGATATTCTGAGTCAGATCGTCAATTTACACAAATCAGTGCAGTTCCTGTGACGTCAGTTACACTCACTGGGGATCTGCCCCACTGTGTTTAAATATCACATATACTGATCAGTGGTGTAGTGGTAAAAGATTAAACTTCATATTCCCCAAAATGAGAAGTGGGTAAACTCCATTTACCCACATTTATCCTCAACTACACTGCTGATGCTAAAGCTAGAAATGACTTCTGGGTCACCCAGCCCAAATGCTCTTGCACTGAGCAAAGAGCCTGTGACACTTTAAAAGCAACGCCACTGTATTGGGTCCAAAATTGGCCTTTCCGTGGCTCTGCAACTGGTGTTGACATATTACTTGTCCCAAACAAATTTCTTTGCTCTAAAATACAAAATATCAAAGATCTATGCTGCTGTTACACAGAACCCACGGAAGATCAGATCAGCCTGTCTTCCATAGATCTCCCTAGTTTGGCAGTCCGAAGACATTAAGGGGGTAGCCTTCACTCTGAATTGCCATGGTTTTCTCTGCAGAAGTCAAAAACATATCATCATGATGAACTACTTCTTTCCTACTTGAATGATATACATAACCCTAATACATTCTCATCAATTGAGTACATTTGAGAATGCGTAGGCCGCCTTGACTCATTCTGTTATCTGACGAGTTCCTTATGGCAAGTACCATACTGTGTGTTGCTGCTGCATTGAGTTCTTCTCTGAAGGTCTAATTGGCCTTGAAATATTTTTAGAAGCTGTCATGTTTCATCTTGGAAATGGGCGATATATAGATTGCACTTTAGATTGATTTGTTAAGAATGT